ATTAAGTTGTTCCTTGCTGTCCATATACTCCATAGTATCCATGGTGCGAGTTCTCCTTCAGCGACTCCAGTAGGGGGTAAATTCTTCCTTGAGATCACGCTGCACCAGATGCTTCTCAAATTTATAGATTCATTGTACTCAACGCTTGGAAAAACAGGGGCCAATGACCAAATTTGTTTTGCAAAAGCGCAATGAAAGAACAAGTGATCTATAGTTTCGGGAAGGTTGCAGCGTTTGCAGATACCATCAGTGTTAATGTGTCTAGCTCGTAAAGCTTCTCCTGCTGGGACTGCTCCGTGGAGCATTTTCCAAGCGAAAAGCTTTGTTTTGGGGGATGTTTTGAGCTTCCAGATAGCTTTTTTCCAGTCAAAGTCGCGGTCTTCTTGTGAGGGGGGCACTAAATCGGTTCGGTTCGATACCGTGGTAGCATAGCCAGTTTTGGTGGTGTAATTTCCGGAAGAGGATCCTAGCCATGAGAGCTTGTCTGGAGCTCCAGTGACACTAGGCTTAATGGCTCTGATTTTTGATTCCTCGCCAGGCAGTACGAGGCGGATCATGTTGACATCCCATTCTCTGGTTTCAGGTAAGAGGAAATCCGCAACAGTGAGATGGAGAAACTCGAGTGGGGCTGGGCCTATAGGTCTCTCTGGAGCTTCAGAGCTAAGCCACGGTTTTTCCCAGATGTTAATACTCTCTCCATTTCCGACCTCCCATCCTGCGTTGCTCATCATTACATCTCTTCCTATTAAAACCCCTCTCCACCCATGGGAGATGGCGCTCTTAGGTGAGACTGTGAGAAAATCTTCATTTGGGCAGTACTTGCCAATGAGAATTCGAGCTAAGAGTGTGTCTGGTTTGTTGTGTATCCTCCAGCTAAGCTTAGCTAAGAAAGCTTCATTGAAGCTCTGAATATCCCTAAAGTCAAGTCCGCCTTGCTCCTTTGGTCGGATCAGTTTATCCCAAGCAATCCACGCCATTTTCTTTTCATCTATTCGATCATCCCACCAAAATCGGGTCAGCGCGGATTGAATCTCTTTACAGAGCGATATTGGTAACTGGAAACAAGACATGGCATGGGATGGGACCGCTGAGAGTACACTTTTTAGCATGGTCATCTTTCCTGCAGTAGATAAAAATCGGTTTGACCAGCCTCTTGCTTTTTGTCGGATGCGATCGATAATAGATGCAAAGTGATCGCGTTTGGATCTGCCAAATTGTTCCGGCAGTCCCAGGTATTTACCCGTTCCTCCTTCCTTTGCAATAGCTAATGACTCATGGACCACTCTTTTTAGGGATCTCGGTGTTCGTCTAGAGAAGGTAATGGACGATTTGTCTTTGTTGATTGATTGGCCAGACGCTATCTCGTATTGGTGGAGAATCCGGTTTAGAGCTAGGCTGCAGTCCTTGCTGGCTCGCACGAAGAACATCGTGTCATCTGCGAACAACAGGTGGTTGAGTCGAGGAGTCCCCCGAGCTACTCGGATCCCTTTAAGAGATCCCTCCTCCTGTGCTCTGTTACATAGACCCGAGAGAACCTCGCTACATAGGATGAAGATGTAGGGAGAGAGTGGGTCTCCTTGACGGATACCACGACTCGGTGTGACTCTTCCTCTAGGCGAGCCGTTAATGAGGAAGGAGTACGTAACAGTAGATACACACTGCATAATCCATGCGATCAGTTTGGGATGAAAGCCTAATCGATGCAACACCAGCCGTATAAATTCCCATTCTAGTCGATCGTACGCTTTACTCATGTCGGTTTTAACCGCCATGGAGCATCTTTTTTGAGCATCTGATGTTTTGAGGTAGTGTAATACCTCATGAGTGATGAGGACATTGTCCGAAATCGCTCGTTCTGGAACAAACGCGGACTGATTCTCCGATATAATGTCCGTCAGTAAAGGTTGGAGTCTCTTCGTTATGATCTTGGAGATGATCTTATAATAAACGTTGCAGAGCGCTATGGGTCTGTACTCCGTTACTTTCTGTGGACTGGGGATCTTTGGTATGAGCCTGATGTGGGTCTCGTTGATCTTGGGTGGTAGCCTCTCAGAGATGAAAAACTCTTGTATCTCTCTCACAATATCCTCGCCAATGTTGTCCCAATTTGTGTGGAAAAAACTCGCTGAGAAGCCATCCGGGCCAGGAGCTTTGTCTGCGTGAATCGAAAAGACAGCGTCTTTGATTTCTGCAGCTAGTGGTATTGTGATTAGTTTCTCGTTCATCTCTTCGGTCACCATTGGTGCTAGTGCGTACATTACTGTTGCCTCTCGATCACCTTCAATTGCTGTGAAAAGCTTTTCGAAGTAATCTACTACCACTTTCCCTATCTGCTCCTCCTCGTATACTATTATCCCCTCCTCATCCTCGAGAACAGAGAAAGCATTGGCTCTTCTTCTGTTCTTAGCAATGGCATGGAAAAAGCCCGAATTTCGATCGCCGAGGCTAAGCCAAAGTAATCTGCTCCTTTGTCTCCAGTACTCCTCTTCCGAGGCATAAGCATCATTGAGCTCGTTGGAAACTTTGGTGATCAATTCAGTGTCGTTTCGAGGATCGGTAAGAGCTGCTTCCAATTCAATGCGCTTTTGTTCAATTTTTTCGCGGCTATTCTGATACTGTTGTTTGCTCCAAAGCGCTAGAGCTGAACGAACCAAGCTGATTCTATCATTGACAGAAGAGTTTGGCTTCGATTTCCAGGTTTGGTTAACTAACTCCTTCACCGCGGGGTTATCCTTAAGTCTTCTGTCGTATCGAAATAGCCCTCGCCTTTTCTTTTNATGCGCTTTTGTTCAATTTTTTCGCGGCTATTCTGATACTGTTGTTTGCTCCAAAGCGCTAGAGCTGAACGAACCAAGCTGATTCTATCATTGACAGAAGAGTTTGGCTTCGATTTCCAGGTTTGGTTAACTAACTCCTTCACCGCGGGGTTATCCTTAAGTCTTCTGTCGTATCGAAATAGCCCTCGCCTTTTCTTTTTCTCAGGTTCACAAAAGGAAACGATGGGTTTATGGTCAGACCCTTCATACGTAAGATAATGGGATCTTGCATTTGGGAAAAGTTCAGCCCAATGACTATTAACTGCTGCTCGATCCAATCTGCATCTTACTAAATGATCTCCTCTCTGTCCCCGCCAAGACAAGAAATCGCCAGAATGTTGAAGATCATATAAATCGCCTTCCGAGTAAAACGTTCGCAGGTCTGTGAAGGAGCTCTCTGGTCTGGCTGGTCCTCCGACCTTTTCGCTGTTATTGAGGATATCATTGAAATCACCACTAATAAACCAGGGAGCGTCCCTTAAACCGTTTCTTTCAATTAGCTCGTCCCATAGGGCCCTTCTTTTTCTAGCATCAGTATCCGCGTAAATAAAAGAAGCGAAAAAATTCTTTCCCTGGAAATCAATACTTGTATCAATACAATTTGCAGTGGAACTCAGTATCTGAATATTAATTTCCTGCTT